CCCCAAAACCCCAAAACCCCAAAACCCCAAAACCCCAAAACCCCAAAACCCCTTATTAGAAATTTTAAGCTGAAATATTTTTGGAAAATGAGCAGGAAGGTGGGTAACAAGTGATGACAAATGTAGGCATCTAGCAAGAAAGTTGATAAGGCACTGAAGAAACAAATACAGAGTGTTAGGAGAAGCTCAGGCTCGTTGTTTGAAGGAATGGTGAGTGAAGGCTAGGAGTCTGTGATTGACTTTTCGGGAAATATAGGTTGAAGCAAATTTTTCTAATGACCCACAAGTATCTTGGATGATGATCTACAGTACGTAACTGGGTATAGGTGGTTTGTTTGGGCTTAGTGAGCACTAGAAGAGATGAAAGCTTAGGGGGTTTAATAGAAGATGTGCTACTTTTAGGGAATTTCATCTTACTCATTGAATATTTCAATGCACAATAGTGATCTAACCAATTGTTTTAGGAGTTTTAGGACAAATAAAGTAAGTAAATATGATATATTCCTTATTTTACACTCGGATTCCTAGTTATCACAAAAAACCTTCCATTCCTGATGTGATTAGGCTTCATCTCAACAGTTATACAACCATGATAATTATCTTTTTATTTGATTAAAATTTTATATAGACCTACTCCAAAAGCTTATAATGGGCCTGAGGTACGTCAGGAAGAACAGACTAAAGAAACTAAGAAATGTAAGTATCCTATAGGGTTATTCCTAGATGCTTAATTTTTTGTGCCCATTCTACAAGCTATAAATCTGTAGGCTTATGCGACAGCAATGGCCATTAGCTTTCTGTACCATATTTAAGATCTACAAGCTCTTCAGCTCATTACATTTATTATAGCCAAAAAGCTATCGAAGAAGAAATCTAGGCGCAAACTAGTCAAGGGTAAGAGCAAGAGCTTCAACGATGGGCTTTTTCTGTATAAAAGAAAAGGAAGATCTACTTCTTTAAACAATAGTTTGAGACGAAGAAATTTAAAAGGTAATCTTAAGAATAGCAGTAAGTATCGGGTCAGTCTACTTTCATGAATTCTGAAGTGTATATCATCCCATGGCCTATCTTTCAGTGCTCCTCTGTAACCTTGCTCTAGCATCCCAAGAACAACTATCAGAGAGGGAAGAAGAGGTCTTTACAAATTACATGTATGACGATATCTTCCAAGAAAGTGATAAGCCCCAGCTTCTAAGAAGGTTCAGGCGAAGATCATGCACGTGCAGATTTTGAGGCAACTATAAGCTCCGAAGAGGCGACTTTGTCATTTTTAAAGGTACTAGTAAATCATCTAACTATAGATGAGGATAAGTCCTCAGAGATTCTAGACGAAGATGGATTTGCTAGATCACCTGATAGCGATGTCCAGGGACACAATGTAACCTTTGATAGTTCTTAACCTTCTAGCATGGTCAGAATCATGGCAAAGGAGAAAACATGGTAGCTAATTCCTTCCGGAATTTTAAGAATGTCATGACTGCTATTAGCTACATGAAGAGGGGTCATGCTTCTTGTAAATCTATGGGTAAGGAGGAAAACCTAGAAATTTATTCTGAGAATGAGGCTGCCAGGAGTAAGTCTTTCTCTCAAATTTAGAGCCAACCCCAAAGGCTCCTTCTGTGGTCAGGGATTACAAGTAAATCTGATTATATTGTTGGAAAAATGAATATTAATTCAAGCATCTTGTCTCCGATAAAGTCAGAGAAGCTTACTGAGAGGTTCTTCTCCAAGAGAGTGAAGAGGATCAATAGGAAAAAGGCCAAGAAATGGCTAAAGAAATTTGACTATGCAGAAAGTACCAAGACGATCAGGAAGGCTCTCTCTAGACTTTCCCAGAAGAGAAGCTCCCTGCCTTATTGAATGAGCCAGGTAAGTTGTGTTACTCGGATAGAATCCCGGCTTCTGTTGCCTTTTCATATGCTAATGAGTGTAGAGACCAACTCCTAGAAGAGACAAGATGTTGACGATGAGAAAGACAGTCAATACTCCCATTCTGAATCTTCGAGCAGGTATGTGTATGAAATCAAGCTTTAGGCTCTAGCAATTCAAAAAGGTTCAAATCATCTGGACTAAGTAAGTATCCTTCCCACTGATCTCATAGCTATAAGTCATGGCAGGAGGTAGGCTTGGGTGCTAAAATATAGTACTTTTAGTGGTTCAAAGAAGAAGTTTTTTCATAAGCGAGGAATCCAAGGTAGTTTGCAGCCAGATTTAGCTATAGATCACGCCTTTCAAACCTTGTATTCTCCCAAGGTAATCCCTGTTAGCCGATCCAGACAATAATTATACAATGTTTAGAGAATTTAAGGGGTTTTGGGGTTTTGGGGTTTTGGGGTTTTGGGG